TCTAGACTTATGGATATTATCAATCTTCAAAATCATTCTAACCATTTGTGTAGCAAGAGATATCTTTTGCTTTTTGCCAATCAAGGTTTCTATACATGTTGCTGCTTCCTGTCAATTGTGATATGAAGCATTGTGCAGTCAATCCCAAGAGCAGGGGTCATCTCCGTCACTTGTCTGGCTCTGACTTCAGTCATCATCTGGATGGGATTCATGTCACTCTTCTCAGAAATGGCCATGGGGATGGCCTCTAGGGCATCCTCGAACGATCGCATGGCCACTGCTCCAACCTTGGGCGCTAATCTGCTGTTTGGGTAACTGCCAGAGGCACAGGGATTTCAGCAGCACCTCCACCATTAACATGGACGAGGTTCCAGATGACACACAAAGCATCATGAAGGGATAGCTTAGCTTCCTCAATGGTCATATCGTCTCCTCCTCTGATGAAAATGGTTACACCTCTAGAGTTCTTTCATTGCTCAATAACCAGCATCTTGCCTTTAGGTGTCCCAGATGAGATCTCTTTTACAAGCCTAGCAAAGCCCAGCTTCTCAGTTGTGGTCTCTGAAAAGCCTGGGCTGATCCCTCTCCTGTCAAACTGGCAATAAACTGAATTTCAGGTCCTCCTACCCCATCAACTACAGGCAAGTTGTTCTGAAGAAGTAAATAATTTGCTCGTCGTCAAAGCTCCACTGGCAAATAGCTAGGTGAGTGCCAGTTTCTTTAATTTCCTGAATCATCCCTTTAAACTTCTCCTTTTCATATTTCTGGACGGAGGTCATATCCAGCTTATGCTTCATCTTTGGCTTCAGTGGTCCAAATGGACATGTGAGAATTGCATTCTTAGCATCTTCAACTTGTCTTGGCATTTGTGAGTAACTGAAATTCTTGTCCCCAGTCATGCCCTTAATAGATTCAGTGTTCTCCAACCTCCTGCCCACTTTGCCTTCTACTTTGATGAGCTCAAAGTGTCTATTCTGCATATTTGCCACACGGAGGACAGCATTCAAGGCAATCTCAGCCATTTGTTGGGGACAGCTGTTAACCACTTTGGAGCCCAGCATGGTTTTTGCAGTCTGAATTGGGCTCATTGTTCTTGATGTCAAGAAGGACACTATCACTTTTCTTGTCCAGGTGCAAGATAGCAATGCGGTAGGTTTGCCCATAGCTTTCCGTGATCCTGATCTGGTGAAAGCTGAGGTCCAGCAACTGCTCAGCTTCTTCCAACAAGGCGCCAGCCAGGACAACCACTCCTGTGGCTCCATCTCCAATTTCTTCAGCCTGTGATTTGGACAGTTCGGCTAGGAGCTCGGCAAACTGATGATCAACATTTATCATGCTCAAAATGGTGGCACCATCATTGCAGTCACATCGACATCCTCATCCCCTACCACTTGGTCCAAGGGATGTTCTCATTTTATTTGCTATAGCCTTTGCTGCCATTATATGAGACTTGAGAGCCACAAGTTCCATAAGAGGAGACTTGTAGTCCTGATCTGTGGTGAGGAGGAAAGGGTGCCCGTCTTCATTGAAGGTGAGAGTCCCGATGGACACCATGGTGCAGCAGCAGGAGTTACTTTCCCAAGGTCAGCAGAGATCACCCAGCTTTTGTGCCTTTATTTCCTCATTCTGGAGTGCTCCATCCTCATTCCTTCTTTTTTTAAAAAATATATTTTATTGATTTTTTACAGAGAGGAAGGGAGAGGGATAGAAAGTTAGAAACATCGATGAGAGAGAAGCATCAATCAGCTGCCTCCTGCATACCCCCTACTGGGGATGTGCCCGCAACCAAGGTACATGCCCTTGACCAGACTCGAACCTGGGACCCTTTAGTCTCCAGACCGATGCTCTATCCAGTGAGCCAAACCAGCCAGGGCCTCATTCCTTCTGATGGTTATTTTGCTCTTTTTTGGGGTGTCTCTTTAAGTATCACTTCCTCAGAGAGACCTTTCATTGGTAGACTATTATTCAGACTCCCGCACCCCACATGGGGTTAAGGGGTTCATTCCTTCCTAGGTTTATCTAGGAAATTCCCATGTGAGTGAACCCCCACATAGGAAAGGAAGTGAAGTCCCCAGAGAGGGTGTGGCTGGTTGGCCTCCTTCAGGATCACAAGGCAGCCAGTGCAGAGCATGACCTGAACAGAATGTCCTTCCAGAGAAGGCTTGCTGAAGCAAGAGAGCAAAGTGAACATGTGAGATTTCCTAACTCAGAAGAGGAGGTCTGGGCTGGTTCCCTGTTCCTCTCAGAGATTCCTTTGTTGATAGGTTCTCTGGGGAAGACCTCTCTGCTATATGGGGGAAGGGCATTTAGGTAGATCTGAGAGCCAGTGCAAAGTCCCTAAGTCAAGAGTATGCTTGGTATGCTTGAAGTCATGTGTCTAGGGAGGGAGAGTTAGAGTGGTAGGAGGGGAGACCACAAAGATAAAGGGGACCAAAGAACTTTGAGTTTTACTCCCAGTGATATGGGGAGCCACTGGGGGGTTTTTATCAGAAGAGTGATATACTGAGACTTTGGTTTTTAAAAGCTTGCTTTGGGTGCTGTGTTCTGAACATCTGACCAGTTGGTTAAGAGATAGCTCTTTAAAATGTTTGCAATCTATTAATGGCAATAAGACTGGCACCTACATAACAATACTACACGATAGAAAGTAGCAAATGCAATGAAAAAACACTGAGATCCTCTCTCTAAAGAGGGCAGAGAGATTGATCTCAGTTGGGGTGAAGGGAAGGTGGTGAGTAATAGCAGGTATTACTGAGACAGGACCACTGAGATAGGCCTAGAAGATGGGTGGGATTTGAACATGGAAATCTGTTGGAGGGATTGGCATTGTGGGTCCTGGTGTATGGAACAAAGTGAACCCAGTAGTCCAGTAGCTATCTCCTAGGCCAGTGGGTATCAGACTATGGAGCGCATGCCAACCACCAAGGAGCTGGTTCATGCCCAGAGACTCCATTTACCTTGTTCACCTACTGTGTGCTTGGCACATAAGAGGAGCTCATTAAATATTTTAAAATGAGAGGATCCAGAGTACTTGGCTACTGATTGGATGTGGGAGAGGGGTAAAAGAGAAAAAGAAGGGAAAAGTAAAGATGAGCCTGTAGATTATCATAAAGGTTCAATTAAGGTGTGACACTCAGGGGACACAGGAAGTAAGAGAAAGACACAAACAAAGCAAACAAAATACAACTAAGCAAAAGAAAAGCCAGAAAACAAAGAGCAACTCAACCGGATGACAAGACTAACCACCCGTAGCAGACGGCCGGGGTTCTAGAGCTTCCAGACCTGTGGGGCTTGGGCAGTTGAGTTTTTGTAGTAGCTAAGAACCCCCATCCTAGAGCCAGATTTCTGAGGTTCATGTCCTGGTTCTACCTCCTACTGGTTGTTGATCTTGGACAGATTACTTCACTTCTGCCTGTGTGTCAGTTTCCTGGGGTGGCTATGAGACTAAAGCCAAATAATACACTCAGGTGACCCTTAGTGACGGGGACACATTCTGAGAAATGGGTTGTTGTGTGAACATCACAAAGTGCACTTACAGAAACCTGGATGGTATCGTCTACTACACACCTAAGCTACATGGTATAGCCTGTGGCTCCTAGGCTACAGACCTGTACAAAACATAAGGTTAAATCAAGCACAAGAGAAAATGATGCAATCAAGAGAGGCAGTAAACACGAGACATACGAGGCTTTTGCTGGTGTAACACTGCTTGCTGTTTTACAGCAAACTGTTTTTTTTACTAAGTAGAAAGAGTACACTCTAAAATAATAACAAAAAGTATAACATAGCAAATACCTGAACCAGTAATAATGGTTTATTGTCATTATCAAGAATTGTGTACTGTACATAATTGCAGGTGCTATGCTTTTATACAAGGGACAGTACAGTCGGTTTGTTTACACCAGCAACTCCACAAACATGTGAGTAATGAGTTGCAGTACAACGTTACGATGGCTACGAGGTCACTAAGCAATAGGAATTTTTAGCTCCATTATAATCTTATGGGCCCACCATGGTATTCGCAGTCCATCATTGACCGAAACATCATTGTGGCGCTTGACTGTACTTGCAGTACCCGGCACATAACAAGTGTCTGATACATTTAGCTGTTACTTTTATTGTTATTAGAAAAAAAGGGAGCCCAAGTTCAAGGAGAAGAAGAGAAAGAAAGATGCATGGGGGGTAGGAGTAGTGAGCACCATGGACTGTGGCCACAGTTTCCACACACTGGCTCTGTCTGACTTCAAACCTTTGGTCCCAGGACAGAGTGATGGGGCCAGGAAGTCTGAGTAGCTGGAAGGGAGGAGGCAGCTTTTTGAGGTGACAGGGGAGAGAAGAGGAAGAGAGTTCATGAGGAGAAACAGCTAGACTTTGAGCTCTGAGGAGACCTAGAAAGTAAACAGCCTATTTCCATAGTGAGAGTCCTTCTTGCAGGGAGCCGGACAAACCTGCCTGGCAGGGCAGCAGCTAACCTTCCCGGTGCCTGAGGATCGCTTGGTGGAAAACACTGCAGGACTGTGATTTCAACCACAGCCCCAGCAGATGGGTTCAATAAGCCACGGTTATTTACATCAATGCAAAGACTGCGTGTATGCATTTCTGGCTCCTGGGGTCTAGAAAGGAAAAGGAACGATTGAAACGAGAAACGTGCTGAAAGGAAAAAATGGACAATCTAACAAGAAATTATGTTTCACATAATCCCTCTCATCCCAGGGCCTCTGTGAGTTTGGTGAGGGCTTATAGGCGCCCCCCTCCCGCCCCCACACCCCCCGAAGGCCTGACCCATAGCAGCTGGGACCCAACAGGAGGGCCCTGGGAGTCACTTTCCTGCAGCCAGGGCAGGGAAGGCTGGGTGGGAACAGAGGAGAAGCAGTGGAATGTCTCCTGGAATGTGTGCTGGGGTTGGATCCTGCCCCACCCTCCCCTGGCTGCGTGACATTGGGCAAGACCAGAACCAATCTGTGTTTCAGTTCCCACATCTGTGAAGGGAGCCGGGTAATCCAACCTCCCTCGTGGGTGGTTGTGAGGATTAAATGGGTTACAATATTCACATGCTTCGAGCAGCTCCGGGCATTATCAGCGTTCTTGGTGTTAGAGGTGGGGAAGGCCCACTTGGTTCTTTGGTGGAGGGGCCTTCTCTGCATCCTTGACGTTATTGCCACAGCAGCGTCTTCACTGGAGGGGAGCACTCCCAGACCAACATTGCACCGGTTTGTGTTGGGATCTTTCCAGGGGTTGGGAATAGGCAAATGCTGCCTGATACTATTCCTGGCCGGGGGAGCAGTGGGGTGGGGTGGGTAGGGAGTGTCCAGTTCTTAAGAACACACTGAGCCAACTCAAGGCCCCAGAAACAGGGGCTGGGCCCTGCTTGTTTAATGGGGTGGGGAGGGGGGCATGGAGGCTGGCCGGAGTGCTTGTCAGGCGCTTGTCAGGCATTTTTCAGGCATGCAGGGTGCTCTGGTTATTGCTGCGGCTTTACAAACCATGGTAAATTTCTAGCTAACGTCTGCCTGCACGTTCCGGGGAAATGCCCTCTTTCCCTCCAGGCACAGGAGCCTGGCAACTGGCTGCCTTCCCCATGTGAGCGTGCACTTTGGCCTCTTGGCTGTGGCTGTGTCAGAAGCAGTGGGCATGCCCAAGGGAGTGGCTGTGGGGGAAGGAGGCCCGGCTGAGGCTCCATAAATCTCTTAACTCCAACTTTTCTCAGGGGAGAAGAAACACATCAAAAGAACGTGTAGGGTTTTCCTGGTCTGTAGAGCCCTGGCCAAGGCTCTCAAGGGTTCCTGATGAATCAGGCCTCCCCAGACCTGTGCCAAGCACATGGCTCTTGAGATAAGGCCTGGCAGAGCTCAAGCTGAGCATGTTAAGAGCTCTTGGATGCTGCAAAGGCTTCACCAGAGCCTCGCCATGGGAACGCTGCCTCCTGCCGGCACCCCTCCTCAGATCCTGGGCTCTGGGAAGCCGGACCCTGCTATCAGGCCACCTCATGTCACTTGGAACCACTAATGAGCCTAGGATCATTATGCCAAGGTCTGGCCTTTCTCCTCCCAATCCTGGGGGTAGAAAGGCTTTTATGTGCTATTGTTTTGCTGGGTAGGGATGCTGGATCAGCACCAAGTACTCTTCCATTAAGAAGCTCTGTTGTGAGGGTGCACCTGCCTTTTCCAGGGACAGGGGTTTCTGCTTTGAGGGGTACCAACAAGGTTCTCTAACTCAGTCCTCAGCACTGCCCATCACGTGACAGTTGCTAATGACCGTTGGCTGAATGGATACATGCACAGGAGGTGGCTCTTAGGCAGAATAGACCAAATTGGAGAGTGGTACAGAGGAGACCATGGAGGGACAGGGAGTGGGATGAATGAACACAGCTGCAGGACTGATCCCACAGGGTAGGGGGACAGGGGAAAGGACAGCCTGCTGTTCAAATGACAGGGCCCAGGGGACAGGAGTAAACTCTGACTCCATCCAGCTGCCTTTAGTTTAAAAAAAATCTCCAAATGCCGGGCTGTGGGCTGCAGGAGGAATCTTGGGAGAGTGACATTTCTTAAAGTTGGGTAAGTGGCAAGGCTTTGGTTCTAAATGATTTATCCAACTGGCAGGAGTCTAGGCAGTACCCAGGCTTTCAGGGCAGGGCCCTCACCACAGAAATATGGGTCTGGCAAGAGTTTGGCACAGAGGGCAAACCCCAGCCATGGTGGCTAGAGTTCAAGGAGAGGTCTTACTATGGACTGAATGTGTGTGTCTTCCCCGAGTCACACGTTGAAACCCTCATTCCCAATGTGATGGCATTTGGAGGTAGGACCTCTGGGAGGTAAGATTAGGTTAGAGGAGGTCAAGAGGGTAGGGCCCCAGGATGGGATTATGCCTTTTAAGAAGAGAAAGAGACAAGAGCTCTGTCTCTCTCTGCCTTGTGAGGATGCAGGAGAGGATGGCTTTCTGCAAATAAGAAACTGTATCCTCACCAGACACTGGGTCTGCTGGCACCTTGATTGTGGACTTCCCAGCCTCTAGAACTGCAGAAATAGATATTTGTTGCTGAAGCCACCCAGTCTGTGGTATTGTGGTATAGCAGCTTGAACCGACTAAGACAGGTTTGGCCCTAATTCATTGTTGATCAGCAGGTCAGCCATGAGAACCAGTCCTGTGGATGGCGCAGGACAGTGGGGATTAGGGAAAGAGCAAGCCCATGCAAACTGGACTAGGGCACTGGAGCCAACTGCAGAGTTCACACCTCTGATGTGACACATCCCATGCACGGGTGCCTAAAATATCCCTGAAGATTGACAGCCGCCCAGCTCTCTCGGTCCTATGCTCATGTCAGTGTACAAACTCCGCAAACGGAGCTGAGGTTCACCATGTTCCTCAGGACTGTGTATCTACATCTCCCAGCCTCTCATTCTTCCTCCTCTTTGCTCTGCTGCCCCGTCCAAACTCCCATCCTCATTTACCTGATATAAGAGACACAGTTGGTGTATTGCCCATATCCCCTGGACCTGCAGCATTTCGGGGCACTTCGGCCCCAACTACGCCCACCCCAGCTGATTAGCTGAGAGTTATCTCATGACATTCCAGGCCTCTGTGATTTGCTTTGCTTTTTCAGCATTATTCCCACACACATATCCCAGAAATACCAGACTTATTGCCATTCTCTGAAAGTTCTCATCACTTTCCTTTGGCTGGCATGCTTTCCTCCGCATTAGTGACTGCCAGGGCCCTGAGACTCCTCCAGAGCTGAGCTCAGCCACCTCCTCCTGCCAGTCTGATTGCTCACCTCTCTGTGCCTGCACAGCACTGTCTACAGGTCACCGGGCAAACACTGGTTCCATCAACGTCTGCATGTGCTGGGTGCCGGGGTTATGTGTGTATTGTCTGTTTTGTTTATTAGTTTGCATACTTGTTTGTTTTTCTTTAACCATGAAATTGTGAGCTTTGAGAATAAGTAGAATATGCCTTCCAGTATATACCAGGATGTGGGATGTGTGGTAGATGTTTAGCAAACCTTTGTAATTCAAATGGAACTAAAAAGATTGGCTTCTGGGCAAGAGAGAGTCACTTGGTGCCTCCTATGAATAATCAGATTCTGTTGATGTGGAATACAGTATGCACTTACCACTAAAACGCTACTGAACATAATTGAATCTCTCTTGGATGGGTCAAAGGCTCTCCAGAATCCTGTATGGGTCCCTGATCACCTGTTCTCATTGGGTGGCACTGCCAGTCATGGAGTTCAGATGGATAATGTTCTGAAGAAATTGGAATTCTCTTTTTTAAACCAACAATTTGCTGAAGTGTTTTAAAAGTGCATATTATAATCAAATCTTGATAAAATAATTTTTTAACAGAGTGGGTTAATTCTAGTGAGCCCTTGGGTAGATGAGGGTATAATTAATAGGGATTATCTGGGAGATGAGCTCATATGTTCCAGTTCTTGCTTATAGTAGGCCGTTGAGGCCTCTGCACTGAAAAACAGCAACCACATCTTGGAACAACTGCACCAGAGTCACTGAGATTGGAAGCTAGCACGGGGCAGGGACGTAACAGTTCCTGCTTTGTGCAAGAGACAGTGTGCACGATGGGGTCCTCGGAGCAGATTAGAAGGTTGAGCGGTCAGTCCCCGCCCTCTGAGTTGGGAACTGCTCTCTCTTCAGTCCAGAGCTAGCCATCGAGCACGCATAGAGCATGACTGAGCTGAGGAAATGGACACTTTAGCAAACACCATTGTAATTTCCATGATGTAAAATAATCCGCTGGATCTGTTTTGGTTTCAGCTCTGACATGTGAAGGGCTTGGAAGTTGTCGCTCCCGTCTTTAACAACAACAAAAAAAGTAGAACAAAATGAAAATTAATGACTTTTCTCAGACTACCCCCAAAGAACTTATATTGCCAGGCAAACCGCCACCTTCAAATCTGGAGAGACAGGCAAATCCAGGGAGTTGCAAACCCAGGTCTGTTTATCTGAACCGGAAGCCACTGTGGCCGTGAACTAGTAGGAACACATAAATGGCTGAGTGTGGACTTGCTTGAGAGTGAGAGACCCCTGTATTGAGTAATGACAGCATATATAGAAGTGAAATGAATGACAGCAATGTCGTAATGGGAGGGAGAATTGGGATTACTCTGTTAAAATGGTATCATGTTATTGGAAGGTACACTTAGATTAGCTAAAAATGTATATTGGAAACTCTAGGGTAACCACTGCAATTTTTTTTTTAAAAGAAGTATAATTGATGAGATAAGATGGAATTATAAAAAATGCTCAGTTAAAACCACAGAAGACAGAAAAAAGAGAAAAAACCCAAAAGAACAAACGTAACTAATAGTTACAAACATGGTAGAAATTGATGCAACCAGCTCAAGAATCACTTTTAATGTGAATGGTCTACCTTCACTTAATTACATCTGTAAAGAACCTTCCTAATAGAGGTTCTGAGAGTTAGGTCATGAACTTGTCTTTTTTTAGGGGTTGGGGGGTGTCACTATTCAACCCATCAGAAGGGCTTAGACCAAATAAATTGCAGGCCTCACTCAGCTCTCAAAGTCTCTGACATGTAAATGACAAAGGGCAAGTATCTTTACTATGTAAAGAATGAATCCAAGTAGGTAAGACAAATATCAACAGCTCAAGAGGTAAATGGACAATTCATACACACAATAGGAAGATGCTCCAATTAGTGAGCAGACATGCATGAAAGTTCTAGATGATTCTTAGATGTTTTGTTTTTTTTTTGTCTAAAAAACTAAAACCCAGTGCTGGCAAGGATGTGATAAAACTGAGATTTACATGTGGACCTATCATTTATCCCCATGCTCTGGCTCATGGTAGGCATTTATTATATTGAATTGCTGACGGGTAAAACTTTTGGGGAGAAAAATATGGCAACATATTTCAAGAACCTTAAACATAAAGGTACCTGCTGTCTGAAAAAAAAGCGAAAGATCTAAATACGCCAATTACAAAAAATGTCAGAGTGGATTAAAATATAAAGCAAGGCCCAGTTATACGTCATTGTTTACAAGAAGCCCACATTAAATATAAAGACTCAGACTGAAAGTAAAACATGGAGAAAGATACACTATGCTAGCACGAGTCAGGAGAAAGCTGGAGTAGCGATGTTAATTTCAGACAACAGCAGACTTCAGAACAAGGAAAACTGTCAGGGATGAAGAGGGACATTGCATAACGATCCTCTCAGTTCTCCCAAGGTGTGTGTACCTAATAGCCTTTCAGAATACGTGAGGCAAACACTGATAGATCTGCAAGGAGAGGCAGACAAATTCTCCGTTACAGCTGGAGACTTCAACACCCCTCTTTCAGTAATTGGTAGATCAAGCAGCCAGAAAATCGTGAGCATGTATTTGACCTAAAATAACCTGCTGCGTTACATGGAAAACACTCTTTTCTCTTGTCTTTTATTTCCTTAACCTCTTTGAAATGTGTGAAGAGGCAGCCATAGGGTAAACCTAGAAACACTATTGGAATTTAATTTGGTTAAAAAAAAACCCTACTAGTTCTATTAGAGTAAATAATTATCTCTCCCCCCCCCCTTTGGCTTATAAGATAGAAAATAATGGTATTTATATGACTTTTCATTTGTATCATCACTGCTTCATTTCAAATTACTTAAATGCTGGGACTGGAGGTGTGGGATTTGGGAGGGGGAAGGGGTCAAAAGGTACAAAGTTAAATAAGTTAGAAAATAAATAAGTCCTGGGGATGTAATGTACAATATAATGACGATAGTTGATACTTTGTCTTGCATATTTGAAAGTTACTAAGACAGTAAATCGTCAAAGTTCTCAGGAGAAAAACATAATTCGTAGCTATGTCTAGTGACAGGTGTGAACTAGACTTAATTGTGATGATCATTCCACAATACACAAACATTGAGTCATTACATTATCCATTGGAAACTAACAAAATATGTTTATTACACCTCAATAAAAACAGCACTTTTATGTGCTCTCATTAATTTGACCTTTGAACTGTTATCTGTAAAATGGGTATGAAAATATGCACCAGGCAGGCAGAGCAGGGTGTCACTTCCCTTTTATAGGTCACATCATTCAAGATTCAAAGAGATGAAGTGACTTGGCTACAATTACCTAGCCAGGAAGTGACAGATCTGGATGGGAAACCCAATTCTTTCAATTCTTATTCCACTATCCCTTCCACTCCACTAGTTTTCCTCTCAAAATAACTGGGTATGAGAGAGATTTCTTTGCATACTGCTATTTTGGACTTTGTAGACACAGCATTACAGGCGACACCCCCCACCAACGCACTCCAACATCTGCACAATATTCACTTCCAAAGACGTTCTTTTGAAAACAGCAGCTAGTGTTTATGAAGTCCTTGCGGCACTGAGAGGCTGCTGTCCAGTATTCAATGCCCCCGCCCTCGCTGGCTCTCTCTTCTCCTCTGAACCTCTGCCCCCGCCCCCCCCCCCCCCCCACTCCCTCACACTATTGTACATAAGGCTCCCATTGCTTCAGGCCCAAGTCAGAGAAAAAAGGCTTCAATGGCTTAGCTTTTAAGATGCAATCCTGGCAAGTCAGAGAGATGTTTGAGGATACATATGTACCAGTATTTCTTTTTACTGTTCAAGGTGAGATTTTGAAAGAGGAGACTCTCCCTGGGGTGGGGGAGAAGATGGTTTGCAAGGCAGCGATGAGGCAATGCTATCCCTTGCCTATCCTCAACCCTCCTTATGCCCCATTGCCACAGGAAGGCGGATGACAGAGCTTCCTGGCAGTGTGAGCACTGAGCCTAGTAGCAGTTTCTGCTTTGCAGGAGCTTACCCAAGGTGAGGGGTAGGATTAGTTGCAAGAAGAGCCGAGGGAGTGGGGGGTGGGCGGGAATAAGAAACCTTGCTCCTGGGGGCTCTGGACCAGCAAGGCCAGAGCAGCAGTAGCTTCAGGGCGTCTATGTCAGGGTGGCAGGTGGCTGAGAGAGGGCTGCAGTGTACCTGAAGCCTCGCCGGCTCTTGCAGAGCACAGCAGCTCTGGGGCAGAAACTGATGGCTGACTGACCCAGCAGTCACTGCCATCCCCACTTCCCATGTCACTGTCCGCTACAGGGGCCCCGAGTGTAAATGGTGTTTCCTCAGCTTTCATCGCGGCTGGGAGTGGCCTGATGTCTCCACTCACCTCCAGACTGGATGTTTTGTGAAGAAAAGAAGCTACCCAGGAGGGCTGTCAGACTGGAGCAGGCATGAGCATCCCCTGGCAGGCTTGCGAGAGCACAGATTGCTGTTCTGATTCGTCGGCCTGGATTGGAGCCTGAGGATTTGAATTTCTAACCAGTACACAGGGGCTGCTGGTGCTGCTGGTTTGGGGACCAGACCTGGAGAAGCTCCGATGTAACTCACCGGAAGTCAGGACAACAATTGTTCGCAGTGGAATATGATCCTGATACCAGGCCATGTGTGAGAGAAACACTGGGGCTTGGGATAGAAATTAAGTTCACTTTAGAAATACAAAGTGAGAATTTCTAATACTCTTCTGAGTAAATGGTTTGTGAATTGATAGTTACATATTCAATGGGGTCTACTTAATTTCGGGGAGGGAGAATGGGAAGTCCACAGGGAAGTATTAGCGAGTAATGTTCAACTTAATTTACTGTTCATAATTTTTAGATGAGTGAAAAATTGACCATAATTGGCCGCCTGAAGGGGGATAGCTTAAAAATTCATTAAAGCATACCCAGGTCAAATTCACAGAAAGGCTTGTAACAGAATGCCGTCATCACTAGGATCTCAAAGTCCCATGCCTATTGTCCCCTTGTTTCCAACTGTTTGATACAGGAGTACAGACATTTATGTGCCCTCTTACAATGGGATTTGACCTGTATTATATGACACTGTGTGTAAACACACTTTCCTAATTGAAAAACAAGACTTAGTGAAACATAAGAACATGTCAAGTGAACATTACCCACTTACTTTTAGGGCTTAGGTATGTGCCAAGCACTTGTAGTTTGGGGTGTCCACTGAGAAGTGCAAAGGTGAATGTGACATCTCTCCAAATTGATTCTAAGTTCCTTGACCAGAGAAATGAAGACAGATGTTCAAATGTCTTACAATTAGGTAGGATATGGCAAGTGCATGAAAAGTTATTTGTAAAAGAGGTGGAGGACTCATGGGAGACCTCTTGATAGAAAGGAAAGGCTAATGTCTGAGGGTTCTGTAATGATGGGTGGAACTAGTTTTGATGGGTGGAATGTTTGATAGTGACGAGAAGACATTTTGGCATTAAAAAGACCCTAAAGTGCATTTAGTCCAACCACTCACCCGAGGTTTCCAATTCTTTCCCTATTCTGTCCAGGTAGTCATCTCAGCTGAGTATCCCTTCTCTTCATTCATTTGCTCGTTCACCTCATATTTGACTGCACTCTTCTGTGTGCCAGATACTGTGTTTAGTGCTGAGGAGGTGACGAGATGGTGAGCAAACCCAGAGGCAGCCCCTGCCCTCCTGGGGTTCACAGTCTGGCAGGAGAGACAAGTGAACAAATGGAAAATTCTGAGGTTGCCAAGAATGGAGTCTTCTGGTGCTAAGAGAGCTTAGAATAAGGGCAATGATCTGCTCTCTGAAGCGGCGGAGCCTGAGCCTGTCGAGAACTAAAGAATGTGAAGTACACATTAGATAAAAGAAGGGAGAGGAGCATTCCAGGTGACAGAAACTGCCTGGGCAAAGGTCTTGAGCCGGGAGATTCTGGTAAGAGGTTCTGAAGGGGACAGAGGGAGCACGGAGAGAGGTCAGAGAGGAGGATAAAGAAGAGGGGAGGCCAGCAGAGCCTTAGAGGCTGCACAGAGTTGAGCTTTGAAATCCTAAGGACATTGGGAAGCTTTCAAAGGCTTTAAAGCTGGGGTTTGGGTACAGGTAGAGCAGTAGGCGAGCTGTGGTGTATGATAGGGATTGTGAGTACGCGTGTGTGCGTGCGTGTGTGTGTGTGCGTGTGCATGTGAGACACAGTCAGATCTGTGTTTTGACGAGATCGGGCGCGTTCAGGGTGGTATGGCCGTAGACAGATCTGTGTTTTGAGAGGATGATTCTGTTGCACTTTAACATGCATCCATTGGCAGGTGACTCCCTACCTGTCCATTTTGAACAGCCCTGTTGGTCGGAAAATAATTCCTTAAAATAGGCCGCACACCTTTGGATGTTCAGAGATGACTGGCATGTACCTAGGTGCTTTCTGAAGTCTAAGCAGCCCCTGATCCGCCACTTGCTTCTCATTCTATTTTATCTGAAGTGCCCTCACTGCCCTGGACTTTTTCTTCTGAACCTGCTAGAGTCTGGCCCCTAAAGTGTGAAACTCAGGACGGACCCAGACTCCAGCATGGGTTCGTTTGACTGGAATGCACACGTCACCCCTCTAGAATGCGCACATTCTAGAAGCTCCACCTCTAGTGCAGGCTGGGGTGGCGTTAATTTTTTGGCAGTCAGGTCACACTGTTGACCCGTGCCGCACTTACTGATGACTCCGACTCCGTATAAACTGCAACCACACACGGCTCCCTCTTCCGGTACATGTGCCTTTTGGACCCCAGGGCAGAACCTTACATTTGTTCCAATTACATTTTATCTTGTTAAACCCAGTTCGTCACTATTCTGTCAAAAATGCCTGGAGCCCTCATTAGGTTTTCCAAAATATATGCTGTACTCCCACAAGTTCCCACCCATCAATCTGCACATATTTGAAAGCCTTTTCTGCGCCAGCTCTGTTCTTGGTATTGAGGATTTAGAGATGTTTAAGACTCTGTCACTGCCTGCAGAGAGCTCCCAGACAGGTAAAAGGCAAGTGTGCTGCAGTGCATGGGATGTAATAAAAGAGGCTTTGAGGTTTATGGTAGCAGGCAAAGTCCCTAATGTAGACCTGGATGGTGGCCTGGACCACAAGGGGAGATGCTCTCAATAAGTTCTGCATAAAAGTAGGAGAGCAGAAGATGAAGGTTACGTGGCATTTCGGGCAGAAGGTAAAGGCTCAGAGGCAAGAGAAGCAAGTTACAGTGAGGAACCTGTAAACACTTCAGTGATGATGCAAATCGAGGGCCCTGATAGGAGGATGCAGTTGGCTAGGAAGGTGTTTGGCTTTGGAGTTGTCATTTGGCAGTGCCCTAGTGGTCAATTTAGGCTTTAGAGTCCGGGCTTCCAAATTTTGGGAGGAGGTGAGACAAAGCAAAGCAAGGCGAGAGCTGGGCCAAGGGCCCTAGGGTACCAGGCAGCTTGCTGGAATAGGTGTTTAGGTCAAGGTCTTCGGGCCCTTTCCCTGAACTGAAGCACAGGGGATAGGGCAACTTTCTAAACTTGGGCACGAGGTCAAGGGCAGATTATCAGTAACAATGCCCCAATGCTGAGACCCAGGAGGCAAGGCTCTGGCCTGGGGGCAGCATTGGTTCTGGCAGCAGAGGTGAGTGGTGGAGAAGCAGACTTCAATGTGAGAAGGCTGCAACGCCAAAAACCGCGTTGGCCTGACCTCAAGGGGTTCTGTACCCAGTGGGAAAGCCAGCTGTGAGGCTAATCTGGCCCAGCGAGTTCTTAACGAATCCTTGCTTCTCCCTTTTTTAAGTTCTCAAAAAACCATCTCTTCTAGAAACTTTCCTGGATCAACATAGCACACTTGTTTGTACTCCCCTCGAGTTTAGAGGCAGGATTCCAATCCTTTTTTTCTGTCTTAGAAACTTGGCAAAAGCAAGACCTGTTCTCAGTTCTAGGAGTGGGAGAGAAGGGAGCTTTCCAAAAGAGGAACTAGGTAATCCCTGGGGGCCCCTGTCCCACTTCCACACCAGCTCCCATGGCCTTTCCCCCAAAGTCCCTTAGACCCCTCCCAACTCCAGCAACAAAGGCTTAGCCCATCAGGGTGCTGCCTTCTGATTGGCTGGCTCCTTTGCCTTAAGGTTTGTCAAATAGAGCTGCATATAGCCCTTGCATTCTTGGGAGTGGAACTCAACTTGTCCATCTGCAGATCTGCTCTCTGCTTTCCTGGCTCCTGGCTCAACAGCCTCATTAAGACGTTCTTAGACTCCCTGCGAAATTTATTTAGTCAGGAGACCTGCATGTTCAGGGCCTGAGTGCTGGGTTACAGAGTCCACCTCCCCAGAGCCCTGGTTCCTGTGTTTCCCTGTTTGTACCTCAGAACAAAGATCACTCTCCCTGATAGGTACAAAATAACATAGCAGGAGACTGGAGGATGGAGGGCATTTTAGGTGGGGGAAATAGAATAAGCTAATACCTGGAGACATTAGGGAAATGGCTAGAAGCCATTCTGGATTCCAGGCTTGTCACATAAGTCAGAGGAAGGAGGGAGATTTGGGAGGAGGGGAGTGGTCATTTGAGGTCAATGCACACAGGATTCTGAGCATCAGGCTAAGGGACTTAGGGTTCATTCTCCGGGCGATGAGGAATTAGGGGAGGCTTGGATTAGGGGCAAAGAGGATGAGTACTGGGCCTATGAAAGGTTGACTGTGGACTGTCCAGGGGGCCTGTATTTGGGAGAAGCATTAGAGGATCTTTGTACAAGTCCAGGAAGGGGGCAGCTGCAGGCATGGGAGGATGGGCTGGAGACACATGAGGTGGGGGCATGGATGTGACACACAACTTTCCTTTAGGGTCAGAGAACATGGGGAAAAACAGCACTGATGGTTGAGTTCAGGCAGCTCCATGCTCCGGGTAGTACCCAGTGGAGCCACTATGAAACCTATAATGATTATACTTGTGTCTAAAATTCATCACATGTCAGCCAATTCCAAATTATGTTTGGGTTGAAACTTCTGGTTTCCAATGAATGTTTTATCTCTTTAGGGATTTTAAACATTCTTTTAATTTTCTGTAAGCTTCCTTGAGACCTTGAGGGTAAATACAAGCATAATTTTAAGCCTTTGCACAGTTTTATCCTGGCAGAAGCCCCTCCTTTTCTCTCATATTCACATTTTTTTGCGGGGAGTGAGGGGTGGGGAGAGGCTGGCTGAGATGATGCTCATGCAGACAACCCACACATACTCACTGCATGTCTGGCCCACCTTTCCCACACTCCAGGCACTTAATGTTTATGGGACATTTATAGTTTGGAACTGGAAGAACAGGCAGGAGAGAGGAGGGGAAGGAAGAACTTGTCCTGTCCCTTTACTGGGTTGGGGCCCTTGGGTGGAGGGTCTGGCTGGAGGCTGAGAGGACTATTCCCCACAGGCTTGCAAAGCATAGTCTGGGACCGGAAGCATCAGTACCGCCCTGTAGTTTGTGACAGGAAGAATCTCCAGCCCCACCACAGACCTACCAGGACTGCAATCTGTGTATTATCTGGGTCCCCAAGAGATTCCCGAGCACATTAAAGTTTAAGAAGCAGGTGAAATGTAGCCTGCAGCCATTAAATAAGAATCTCTGAGAGTGAGGCCCAGGCATTTTTAACAAGCTCCCAGGTGATGCTCCTGGTCTTTGGGCCACACCTTCAGCAGAAGGCAACAAGCGGGGACCGTCAGTCATGCGGGATGGGGAGGAGTC